GCACCAAAGCCCTCTTTGGGAACTTCTGACTACATCTCCTTGCCAGAACTGGTTCACACAGCCACCCTAGCTGCAAGAGAGGCTGGGGAATTCAGGACTTTCATTTCCCAGCCTCTCCAATAGAGGGTGCTAAGAGCCAGGGGGATTGGGATGGGTATTATGTGAGTCAACCTCAGCATCTCCTACAGTGAGTGAACACCCTCTAAGCCCCACTGAAAAGGTTCCTGGGAACAACTTGGAGAATCGGGAGATGGGTCTAGAGAAAGGACATAATGGTAATTTAAGACTGTAAAGTGAGACCCAAGAGAAAATTTCAATGAGAGAGAAATAGCTTAGCTTGGAAAAGAGTCTGAGGGTCCCTCACTTCCTTCTGCCTTTACCTGGCTGACCCCTATGGATAAGTTTAAAAGGCAGCTCAGGCTTCCAGGAAGACTTTGCCAAGTTCCTTCCTTGTCTCCTCTCAAATCTTTTTTTTTTTTTTTAGTAGCTATATTGAGATATAACTCACACACTATAAAATTCACCCTTTTAAAGTCTACAGTTAAGTGATTTTTAATATATTCATGGAGTGGTGCAATCAGCATCACTATCTAATTTCAGAACATCTTCATCACCCCAAAAAGAAACCCAGTACCCATCAGCAGCCACTCCCCATCCCCTCCTCCCACAGCCTCAGGAAAACTACTTTGTTTCCATGGATTTGCCTGTTCTGGCCTTTTCATATAAACAGAATCATACAATAAGTGAACTTTTGTGACTGGCTTCTTTATCTTGGCATTATGTTACCAAGGCTCACCCATGTTGTAGCAAGTATCAGTGCTTCCTTCTGTTTTATAGCATATGGGTATACCACATTTTGTTTATTCAATCATCAGTTGTCGGACTTTTGGGTTGTTTCCACACTTTGACTATTATAACCTCTAAAAACATTCACGTGCAAGTTTTTGTGCTGACACATATGTACATTTCTCTTGGGTATTTACCTAGGCGTGGAACTGTTGGGTCATATGGTAACGGGTTCAACTTTTTGAGGAACTGCCAAACCGTTTTCCAAGGTGGTTGCAGTATTTTACAATTCCACTAGCAATGTATGAGCTGGGTTGGGTTTTCATTAGTTTTAAAAATATTTAAACAGTTGTAATCATTTAAAATATCTTAGTTTGAAGATGACTAGTTTATGACTTGCCCCATGTGATGTGGCTGCACCCTGAGTGTGTCCAGAATGACATATATTGGGTATCTTTTCACATGAGTGCCCAGGGGAGGAGAAACGGAATTAAAATGCTTTTTCTGGGGCCAGCCTTGTGGCTGAGTGGTTCACACACTCTGCTTCAGTGGCCCAGGGTTCGCCAGCTTGGATCCTGGGTGTGGACCTACACACCAGTCATCAAGCCATGCTGTGGCAGGCGTCTCCCACATAGAAGAGCTCGAATGACCTAACACCAGGATATACAACTATGTACTGGGGCTTTGGGGAGGGGTAAAAAAAAAAGAGGAAGAGTGGCAACAGATGTTAGCTCAGAGCCAATCTTCCTCACCAAAAAGATGCATAGAAGCATAATTATTAAAAAAAAAATTTTAAAATTAAAAAAATGCTTTTTCTGTTTGTTTCTTTCTCATCATTTTAAGTTTCTATGTTTGTATATTTAAAATGCATACATTATACTCATATATTAATACATGCACATAAATTATTAAAATTATAGAGTTAAAAAATAGAGTGCTCATGGTTGAGGGAGTTAAATAAAATTATTATTGTCTTTAATCATGACATCTCCATCAAGCAGGTGCATTAACTGGCAACTAATACTGATGGTCACAAAGGAAGCCTTTAGAGCTTTACTAATTCCTGCATTGAGGTGACAAGGACTCCGTGAGCCTCCTGACCCTTTCAGTCTTTTTTCCTTCTTACATTAGATGCCTCTTCCTGACCAGACCAATCCAGCAAGTGCTCAGAGAAAACTGTAACATAAATGCGTATACTCAAGCGGAGAAAAGGCTTAAGGGACCCTTATTTTCTTCCATTCACACATAACTCCTACTCATTCTTTAACTCTCAGCTTAGGAATCCCTGCTCCCACCTTCCTGGTCACTCTCTCCACCTCCCCCAACCCAGATCCCCAAATGTGGGTGGCTGCCTCCCCTATGTGTGCCCCTAAAAACCCACTTGTTTCTGTTTCAGCACTTAGTAGGACTGACATTGTCTCCTCTTGTCCATGTCACCAGATAGTGATCCCATTGTGGGCAGGACTCAGCTTTGTTCACCTCTATGTCCCTGGCACTCAGCACAGTGCCTGGTGGAGAGAGTGCACAATACACCCTAATTAATCAATGAGTGGCTTTTCAAAATAAGGACACTGCACTTTAAGTAAACCAAATGTATAGCAATCTCTCACCGCCAAATTGGGAAATGGTAGTTTTCCTTACAGAACGATTAACTGAATGAATGACGTATTCACTAGTGCCAGTCATCATGACCACAGTTAACACGTGAACTCACTTAAACCTAACGACAACCCTTCAGGATGTGGACAACTGTTAACCCCAATGTACAGGTGAGGAAACTAAATCTTGAGAGATTCATGGCTTGCCTCAGGTCACACAGAAAGCAGAACAGCCAAAGTTGAATTAGTGGAACCTAAATTCTACGAAGGCAGAGCCCATCTCAATCTTCTTGCACCGTTGAACACTCAAGGCCTGATATATATAATAGGTTGAATGAATTCATTCCGATGCACCTGACATCAGCTGACTATCCACAGCTTAGGACAGGAAGGTTACTCCTCAGCCCCTGGACAAGTGGTTCTCTGACTCATCTCCTCATTGTTTCTCTCCTGCCTTCCTCCCCATATTGGCTCAAGCCCCAGCCTGGCATCTTTAGTTTGAGAGAAAGCTGTGGGCACACATGTTGAAAGAAACCCAATATGTAAAAGAGGAGATGAGTTCTGGGGCTCCTGTGGGACGGGAATGGAAACAAGCAGCTCCCTGCCACCTTTCGTGGTGGGATCACACAGTAGCTAACATTTCCTGGGGGCTTATTGTGTACAAAATACTGTTCTTTCTAATCCTTACAACCCCTATTTTCAACACTCCTCCCACTGCTGCTTCTGTTCTAAAATGATCTAATGACAATGTTCCAAACATTTTCTGGGCATTCGAACTTTTGCACCTGTTTTTCTCTTCAACCAGCATCTGTTTCCACCCTGACTCCACTTATTAAAGTCTTACTCAGTTTTTAAGAGCCAATTCAAACACTACCTCTCTGAAGACATCCCCATGCAATTCTCAGAACTTTTCTTCCCCACCTTTGCCCTCCTACAACTTGCTATCACTCATATGGCACTTACTGTATTGTATTCCAATGCTTTGAGTACTTATGTTATTTCTGTTGCTAGGTTGTGAGCACCTCAGTGCAGGGACTCTATCTAATGTATATTTCCTGCAGCTCATGTACATAGTAGGCACTTAATATTTGTGAAATAACACAAATGGCACCAATCTTGTGCTAACTGCCACTGTTGCAAGAGCAAGACAAGCAGCCCAGTGCAACCTAGCCAGCCAAATGCCAGTTGCAATCATAATCTTGATAAAGTTACACTTTTCTATATTTCCTCCATCAGGCAAACAGCCCAGATGGTTTCAAAGCGCACCAAAGCTCTGAAAGGTGATTCTTGACAATCAGTCATCCCGAAGGTAAACAGACTGATTCTTTACAATCAGTCGTTCCAAAGATGAACATTGCGATGACAGACAGCCATAAAATAAAGTGAGGCTTGCAACTCTGCAGAGTACCTCTCATTTCCTATACCTCCTTATGTCGGCCAAGGAAGGAGGATGAAGAGGGAGTCTGAGGCCTGTAAAAATCTAAGATTTTAATGCAAACTTTTAAAATAGCTAGCAATTGGCAGCTACTGCACAAGCCTAAGGCTAGAAATGTAGTTTCCCTGTGAGTTAAAGCAGTCATTCTTAACCCTTTTTCTACCACAATAAATATATGACATCCCCCCTACACATCCACTTATTTAAGAACGCTCAGGGGGCTGGCCCGGTGGTGCAGTGGTTAAGTGCACATGTTCCACTTCAGCAGCCTGGGGTTTGCCGGTTCAGATCCCGGGTGCAGACATGGCACCGCTTGGCAAGCCATGCTGTCGTAGGCGTCCCACATATAAAGTAGAGGAAGATGGGCATGGATGTTAGATCAGGGCCAGTCTTCCTCAGCAAAAATAGGAGGATTGGCAGCAGATGTTAACTCAGGGCTGATCTTCCCCCCCAAAACAAAACAAAACAAAAAAAAGAATGCTCAAGTAGGAGAATGGAGTTAATATGCTGGAGTAATTTTAGCCCTATTCCCTCCCTTATTTAGTCATTCATAGTAACAAAGCAGCACCATTTTAATGCTTCGATTTAGACTTCATTACTTAGTCCCATCAATTTTATTTCTCAAATCCACCAACCCTCCCACTGCCACCACCCTAGTCCAAGCCACCATCACCTCATGCCTGGACAACGTCCTCACTGGTTTCCCTGCTTCCGTCCTGGCTCCCCTCGAGTCAATTTTCCATATTGGAGCCGGAGTGGATCTGGAAACAGCACTGTGTCCCTCACCCTTAAATAACCAATGCCCTGTGTACAACTGCTTCTTAGATAACAGCCATGGGAGGAAGTTCAAAGAAACCCTCATTTTGCAAATGAGGAAATCGAAGCCCAAAAGAATAGTGGAACCTTGTCCCCAAGGTCAGAGAGAACTGAGGTCAGAATTCGGAATTCATGTTTGCACAGATGAGCCTCATTTCAATGAGCACACTGCTTCTCCCAGATATGTAGCTCATTCTTAACATGTTAATGGAAGATGAATGAAATGATTTGGATTGGTTTTGACCCTGCTTTCAGGGCCACAAAATATTAGATTACCAGGAGACAAGAGGGGTGAGATCCTGGCCTGAGCTGATGCATTAAGGATCACTCACACGTAGATCCTTGTGTCTCAGGATCCACCTTCTCTAGCCAACTAGAGGACAGGGGCGGCATTCCAGATCGAGGACTATGTGATCCACGTGGGGAGCATAGGATTTCACCAGTTGGATGTGCAGGATTTCTGTCTTCCACGGTTTCCCATGCATCTGCTGAAGAAGACTGGCAATGCGATTTTCTGCAGATTCCGCCCACCTTTGCCACTCTGGCTTGGTGGCTGCCGACAGTATTTTTCTCCTAGAATCCCTGCTAGCTCCATTTTTCCATTGTTTGGTGATAATATGCTGAGGATAAGGCCAAAGCTCCTTCTCCATTTCACTGCTTCCAGGAGGCTGGAGATTCTTCCCTGGGAAAGATTCCACATTTTGGTGGATATGCAAAATACCCCCAGTATCCTGTCGTAGCACTTGGCAGGCAATGGGCCAGCCTTCTTCAGAGCTGGGAATCAGCCCCAGGTTCACCCTGTCCGCAATATTTGAGAGCTTCAGTTTCCTATTATCCCCAAAGTGTATCTGGCACTGATGTGCTACTCCATTGATCTCAAGGTTATTTCTCAGAGCAACTACAGCATGAGGGTTCCACTCACAGGCATGGACGAAAGCAGCACCAGCATGAACTAGGAACGGCAATGTAAAATAACCAATCCCTGCGTAGAGATCCACCAGCTCTTCTCCAGCACAGGGCAACGATGCCACTCGGAGCTTCTCAGTGATGTTTCCGAAGGAGAACATGCACTGGGTCACGTCAAACTTATACAGGATCCCATTATCCACATGCTCGACCCAGCCATGGTCGCCCAGCAGCAGAGTCACTGCTGGAGTTCGAGCGCCATCCGGTGATACCCGCCCTCTTTTGGCCAAACGCTGGACGCCGAGTGCCGAAGCAACCGTCTTCCAGAGTTCTGGTTCCAGATTTTTCCATTGCTTGGCTTGGAAACAGTCCTCACTCAGCAACAAGAGGTTACCATGTCGTTGCCAAGATCGGGGCAAATCATCCTCCAACTCCGCTGACCACGTCACTCCCCGGCCCTCTACCCAGCGACTCACCTCAAGACACAGCCTTTGGGCAGGTGAACAACCCTGGGCCTTCTTTGAAAGAACAGGATCCAGGAGCTGCGTTAGCCTACAGGTGCTGCCTGGGGCCACACGATTCCTCAGCTCCCACAGATGCTGCTCCAGGAGGGCCTCTCCCACCACGGGTAGCGCCACGGTGCCATCTGGCATCTTTTCCACGCGGTGCTGTCTATCCAGGAGTTTCTGCTCCTCGAGATATTCCCTGTATCGCTGGGTAAACCGAGGCTCAGTCACAACTGCGACAACAGCCGCGGGCTTCCCACCTTCTCTGTCCATGTTGCTGGCCCCACATTCTTTACAATTCCCTCCGTGAGTCTTCCTCCGCTCTAGGTCCGCTCACCTCCCTCGGTACAGCCACGGCCGCAGCAGGAAGAGCGGCGCGCACGCCGCTGTGCCGGGGCCGGAAGTGACGTAAAACGGGCAGGCCCGCACTAAACGATATTGACGCGCTTGTTGGCAAATTGCGTCGTCGTTGCCGTGGTGAAGCAGCTGCCGCCATCTTTATTGTGGTGAACCACTGCTTGCTTCAGCCTAAGAGGAGATTAATAATAACGAGGAACTGTGTGGGCTCAAAAACTTCAGATTAGTCGGTATCCTTCAGAGCCCTCATGCACTCTCTTCAGTGCTGCTCACGAATCCAAAAGGAGAAGTGAACCTGGAATGATAGGCTGAATTTGGAAAAAGGCTTCCTATAGTCTCAAGCCGCTCTCAGCTCCGATGCGCGGCCACCGTATTTGCTGAGAGTGAAGAATCAGATTCAGCTTCCCCATTCCTTTTCCTTGCAGAGATAGTCCTCACCATCTCACTGTCCTGCAGTATAAGAAACAAGTGTTTGGAAGTCAGACGGATCTGAGTTTGGGTAAATCAAATCACCTCTCAGAACCTTCACCTATAAAATGGAAACTGTGTTGACTTCCTCAGATGACTGCCGTAGTGATTAGAGATATTATAAATAAAATGCTTTGAACAGTGACTAGTAAAGAGTAGATACTCAAAAGAGATATAATGTAACAAGTGGAATGGTTATATGGCAGATATTAAATACTTGTTGGAATGCTTTGATATAATCTAATAAGGACGAAGGGGAATTCCCCTACAGATAAATTCAAATAATTGAAAGTAAGAGTTGTAAAGAACCCCTAGCCTTTCCACTTACTTGCCACCATCGTACAGGTTAGGGTATTGAGGCCCAGAGAGGTTAACATTAATTGAAGTGCCCAGTTCAGGTCTCTATGTATGGGAGGCACAAGGCTATGACTAAACCACCTTTTTGTTTCTCAACAGCTATTTAGTATCAATCAGAGTTGTTGTTGTTGTTTTCAGTCTGGTCTCTATGGTTAAGACTCGGATTCCGTGGAGAAAACGTCAAGTAGGACAGTGTAGAAGACCCTCTTAGTGCTTCATATACCCTTGGGGCTGACCATTCCTGTATATGGCAACCCAATGGCTTCTAACTGCAAGCACTTAGGAGTCTTTGCCTGATGGCTTTCTCTCCTCACCAGAATTGGCTTAGCCCATGTCCAGGACAGGCCAGAAATCCTGGGGAATTAATACCCAATCCCCCATCTCCTGGGAGCATCCCTCAACCAGTGAGTGACGGAAGCTGGTGAATAAATTTCCGGCTTCTACACACCTTAGTCAGAATACCGTGGAGGCATGTTCTAGTCTGTCTCCCAGGGTTCTCTCAGGACTTCAGTTTTTCACGAATTCTCTCTATGTCCTGGACTTTCAATTTCTTTCTGTCCCTGGCGGTCTAGTGGTTAGGATTGGGTGCTCTCAATTTCTCTCTGTCTCCTGGATTATTCCCTATCAGTATATAAATATACTGCCATTTGCCATCTTTAACAACATCTCTCTTGACTCTTCATATCTACTGATATTTCAGTTCATATTTCTCACCACTCCATATCTCCCACTCCCAACTCTAATACCATTTGTATCTTTGATATCTCAATTTGGTGTCTAATAGGTAACCCATATTTAATATGTCTAAAACAGATTTCTTTTTGTCACCGCCCCCCGCCTCCCATATATATAATAGTACCATACTTTCCAGCATCCACCCATTTAGTCAGGCACACCATTTAGAAAGTATCTTCAATCACCTCTCCCCCTCCTTTTCCTCAACTTCCTATAACTATTTGATGGTCAGCTACCATGTGTTTATATACTCCATATACACATAGATTACTGCAGCTGCCTCCTCAGTGGTCTTTCCATTAGGACTCATACCTTCTTTTTTATTGTCCACATACCAACCAGGATGAGAGTTTTCAAAACATAGTTTCTGATCCTTTCCCTTCCTACTGACAAACTGTTCCTGCTTACCCATTGCCCTGGCCCTTGCTCCTTGCCGGCCCACCAGTCTATGCACGATCTGGCTCCTAAATCAGCCTGAGATGGAACTTTTCCCCAGGCTAACCACACTCTAGGGACATCAGTCTCCTTTCACTTCCTAAAATAGATCAAGCCTTTTCTTATGCTTTTACCTTTGTATTTGCTGTTCCCTTTATCTGAAATGCCCCTCCCCTAGATGATACAGTGGCTGGGGATTTGTCTGAAGGTCATCTTCTTGTGGGGCCTTCATTCAACACTCTCGCTACAAGTGTCACTCTCTTCCCTCCACTGTTATGTCTATTTAACACTGTTAATTTCTTCTTTAACCCTTTAACCCTTCTTTGCTATTTACTTGTTTAGTCTTAAATGCCTGTCTCCGCCAGTAGCAGGTAATCTTCTCACAGATGGGGAAAGTTCTTTTTCTGTTTACTGCTATATCCCCAGCATCTTGCATAGTTCCTGGTCATAAGTCATTGCTTGGCAAATACCATAGTTATTAAGAGAATGACTGCTTTGAGCACAAAGAGACTTGAACACGTTTGTACCCATTGAAGCAATAATCTATCCATGAAGGTAGAAATAATCAGAAATTCGGACAAAGATTGACAAACTAAAATAGTCCTTTCTGTTTTACTTAAGCCTGTAGATGAATGGTTAAATGAATTATGGTACATCTTTTAGATGGAAATATACAATTATTATGATGATCATAAGAAATTTTAATGACATGGGAGGTTACTCCTTATGCAGTGTTAAATTGCAAAATATACGATTATGCCTTAGGTAGTGTCATGTTATTCATGTATTTAAACAAGTTTATTAGGGCAAGCTCTAAAATGTGAACAGTGATTCACAATGATTCCTGGATGTGATGCAATTATAGGTAATTCCATTTTCTTTTGTACATTTTTCTCTAGTTACAAATTATATTTGATGAACAAATGTATTTTTAAATCTTAGAAACATATTTAGAAAATCTGTAACACACTAAGGAAATTGTTTTCTGTGCCCCACACAAATGGCAGCCCCCTTTAGTTTTATTTGTAGTGGGCAATGGGAGAAGTCATATCTTACAAAGTGTTTTTTCTCCAGGTTTCCTTCTGTTCCAAAGTCAGTCTGATACCTTGCAACAATAATTAAAATAAGGTAGTACAGACTTTGACCCAGACACACCTTACTTTTAATATGAGATAAACAAAATATTGGGGGGTTTGATTTGAAAGCTAACTTAATGTTTGAGAGTTGGAAATGGTCCTTTTAATAACTGCAGATTTACAAATGAGCCACACTTGTAGACGGCCACCTTGGTCCACCATCACTTAGGCACATGACCTCACTTTCCCTACCATTTCTGTCACTTGAACTCATTAAAACCACAACAAAGCAAAAGAAACCAGCAATGACAATAATAAACAAGCTTGTAGACAATCCATGAGCTCAAATGCAGAAGAGGATAATTACTTAGTAAGGAGAAGTAGGTTAGGGAAATTAAGTGGAGAGGAGAGGAGAGGGGAGGGTGGGCAAACTTTTTCATGAAGCTGCCTCTCCTATGTGGCTGGAATGATTACATTCCGTATGAATTTCAATCACAGAGACTCCAGCTGAAGACGAGTTTGTTTTACCACCTCTTCTCGATGAGATGCCAACACATTCAAGATGTAGGGACCATCCACCAGCCCCTCACAAGAGAGGCTGCATTTGATTCTTTAAGGGCTTTTCTCCCCTGTACGCTGTCACCTTTCATGTAGGAAGGAGGTTCTGAATGGTGTTGGGCTGGCTGGCTCAATTCACAAGAGCTTTCCTCCATGGCTTGAGAGATCCTGGAGCCTAGAAATAAAGAGGAATAATTGCTTTTCCCTTCTCCTTTTTCTCTTCCTACCTTTCTTCACTCTGCTTGCTGCCCCTGGGATGCCTGTCCCTTCCAGTGGGTGCCTCTTCACTTGTTCATTCATTTTAGTATCACTTCTGCATTGTTTGAACACCAACTATTTGACAAACTCCCCAGTGCTAAGCTCATTAAAGCATAGACAATCAAATAAGATGTAGTTCCTGCCTTCACAGAATTCAATTCTGAGTTGTAGATACACTCATGGATAACTAATGCCATGAGTTAAGTGCTATTAGAGTTGCAATTTCAAGTGCTTTGTGAGCGCGGAGAAGAGATCGAGCCGTCCTTCTCTTGCATTTTGAAGAACACCTTCTGTTGCTTTTCCTCCCACCTCACTGACTGCTGCTTCTTATGGGTACACCTGTCTACCATCTCCCCCCTATTTGACGTTTCCCAGGCACCTCAAACTTCACACTTCCAAAATGTACTTAATGTGTGTTTTCTCTATCCCTCGTTAGCTCATGAAAGTCTCCTAGTGTATCAGTTTCAAGAGACAGGAGCTGGATTTCCCCCCTCATTATTGCATCCTTATTGTATTTATGAGGACCCACACACATAGTAGGGCCTCATAAAATATCTTTAGAATGCACAAATGAATGAATGAATGAATGAATGATGGATGGAAAGGAGAAAGATCTGAAGAAAAAAGAAGTTCATGGCCCGAAAGAGTGTTTTACTTCCAAAATATTGCCACTAGATGGCAGCAATAACCAGCACCAAAGAGGTTAAAGACAGGAAAGTTCGGGTTTCTGATGGTTGGATGGCCAGGGCTCCCCAGGGGTCCTACTCTTCCCACAGGCCGCCCTTCATTCATCTCTGTTAGACATCCTTACTGACATGGCTAATCCAGATGTGTGAGTGTGTTTGGCAGCAGGTAACAAAACCCCCAACAAACAGCAGCTCAAAATAAGTGGGGAGGTGTACATTTTTTAATATAAAAAGAAGTCCAGGGCTGGTGTAACTGTTCAGGGACATCGTCAGTAAACCAGGCTCCTTCCCAGCCTTAGGTGACTCTTTCATCCTTGTGGTTTCAAGATGGCCATTACACTTC